AAATGAAGACATGAAAACAATAATAATTTATAAGTTATCAAGAGGTCACGAGGATGGGAGGGGACGGGAGGGGAAAAAAGAGGAGCTGAAACCAAGAGCTCAAATAGAAAGTAAATGTTTAGAAAATGATGATGGCAACACATGTACAAATACGCTTGAAACAATTGATGTATGGAATATTATAAGAACTACAAGAGCCCCCAGTACAATGATTTTTAAAAATTAATGATGACAAGCACGATTCTTTTCAGAACAAATCAAGGTACTCTGCAGAGCGTACAACTATATTTATATTTGCTGAGAACTGAATATGTGGCGGTCATCATGTTTCTCCTGGTAGAAGACAGTTTGGACAAGTGCTCATTAGCGTGAGCTTTTCCCGTAGCCTTGTTGGTGCCATGGAGTCGGTTCCAACCCAAAGCAACTCTGTGCGCCACAGAACCAAACACTGCCGGTCCTGCGCCATCCTCACAGTTGTCCTGATGCCTGAGCCCGTTGATGCGCCATTGTGCCAATCCATCCTGTGGAGGGCCTTCCTCTTTGTCACTTTGCCACACAGGATGTCCTTCTCCAGGGACTGGTCTCTCCTGACAATAGGTCCATAGTATGTAAGATGAAGTCTCACCTAGATTGCCTGGTTTTAAACCCAAGTTGCTCCACTTACCAACCATTAGGCACGAGGCAGGTTTATTTGTTCCTATTTAACCCTTTTTAAAAACCAATTTTTAAGATGGAAAAGTAAGTCTAGGGAGTTCATATCTCCCGCCCTCACCTCTCCCCACCCCAGCACCTCCTAATGTAAGCATTTCCTAATGTAAGAACCCTGGTGCCATGATCGCCAACAAGTTTCTCCACTGCCTTCTACCTCAGTTTCCTTATCTAAAATGAAGAGCTGAGACCACCCATCTTATACAGCTATTGAGATGCTCTAATGAGAGGATTATGTAAAATTCTCAGAATCCTATCCAGTGCATCTCATCTCAAGCACTTGATTAAGGCTTGGTTATTATTTTGTTATTCTCTGTGACTTTAAAAGCTCCCCAAACCCTGGTGCCTGTAGTGGAGAAAGATACCCTCTCCCACCCTCTGAATAAAGAACATGCCTCACCAAATCAAAACCCACTGCCATCCAGCCAATGCCAAGTCATAATGACCCTAGATAAAGGGTTTCTGAGACTCTAAATCTCTACGGGAGCAGACAGCCTCATCTTTCTCCCTTGGAGTGGCTGGTGGGTTTGAACTGCTGACCTTGCACCATAGCACCACAGGCAGCCTTAAATACCAGTTATGCAGTTCTGTCTTCCTATGTGCGTACCTCCACCTAACTCACAGTTTTGTCCATAAGACCTAAGGTCCACCTGCTTCTGGACTTAGAAAGAGATCTGGGCTTTTCCAGGGCCAGACCTTCATGAGTGCCTCCAGCACCCCTGGTCACAGTCCCAGCCCAATCAATGACTGGTCCCATGGATCTAACTGCTGTTAAAGCAACGTGGAAATTCCAGGTCAACAACCTCCTACCCTCTACAAATCAGACTGGCGGAACCATCTATTAGCGCTGATGCGCCAATATAAACTGCATCATCAAATCTGTTCAGCATCTTCCTCCAGTGCCCCCCCCCTATAGAATTTCACACAACAGCACAGATGCCTGCAATCCTACAGTGCATCCTAAATTCTTGCTGAGAGGGAGGATTCTTGCCGTGGATGTGGCAGGAGGGAATGCCGAGTCGGAGCAAGCAACAGAAAGGGTGCTTGCCTCTTGCCTCAACCTTCACCCCAAGTTATCAGGACAATTTGTAGGTGGTCATCGCACGCACCCCCTGCTCCATAGCAAGGTGGGTGTTCTACACATCGTGTGGCCAGAAGAACTGAGAAACAAACAGGAGCAGCAAACAGTTTCATCCTTACCACTTGCCTATCTCATCTTGCAGGGTAATGAAGGTGGTGAGGGGCGTTCTGTGGCAGAGCTGTGCTCCTCAGAACTGTGAGAACAGACGGAACACAGTCGGTTGGGCCACCAGCCTGTGCGCTGGAGACTGCTGCTGCCAGAATAGCCTTGGTATTCTGCAGGTCGGACAGAAGTTTCCGCCTTAAACTAATTTCTGTGAGTCCAGATGGATTTAGTCATTATTGCTTCACTTTGAGAAGGAAGCCGAATCCTAATTCTATAACCACTAAAAACAAAACAAAAACAAAAAAACCACCTCACTGCCACTGAGCCAATATTGACTCATAGCACCACTGTAGGAATGGGTAGAAGTCCTGGGAGTTTTCGAGGTTGTCCGTTGTTTACAGGAGTAGAAAGGCCTGTCTTTCTCCTGTGGACATGCTGGTGGTTTCAACTGCTGACCGGACGGATTGCAGCCCTGCGTAGAACTGCTCTGCCCCCAGGGCTCCTTGGGACATTCTGGAGATCACCTACACTCCCAGGTATCGGAGGTGCTTGCTTCTTAAGGCTACACAGAAAGGCCTCCTGAAGCCCTGGCTCTGAGCTGTAGAGAATCTTTTTTATTTGCCTTTTGCTCTCTGCCTCCCTCCTTCTTCCCATCACACACACACACACACACACACACCACCACCACCACCACCACCACCTGCAGCCCTGTCTCCCTGGAACTAGGTTCCCCCGGATTATTCTAGCAGCCCAGGACTAGCTGACATGCTAGGGGCTTATTCCAAGCCTCTAGATCAGCGGTTCTGAACCTGTGGGTCATGACCCCTGTGGGGGTTGAACGACCCTGTCACAGGGGTCGCCTAAGACCATTGGAAAACACGTTTTTTCAGATGGTCTTAAGAACTTAGGTCTCCAGGCGGGGCCGGCCCACATGCAGATACGCCCACATACGAGTACCCCGCATTTGGAAGGTTGAGAACCAGTGCTCTAGATCGTCCTAGATTCCCGGCTTTTCGGAACCCTGAGCTGCTGACAACATTCAAAGATACTCTAGGATCTGGTTAAGCAAAGCTGTAGACTGGCCCAATGTTGATGGTTTTAAATGTTTTTGTACATTTCCCCCCAGAAATCACAGGGGAAAATAAATGATTGAATTTCATTTCTGCTCTTGTCAAAGTGGTCTAGAATGTAGGTTGGACCCAGCAAAGCTTCAGCTTAAATTCCCTCAGGCTCCACTGTCTTTAAGAAAAGTCTGGCTTCCTTAAATCATTGCCATCGACTTGATTCCAACGCATGGTGACCTTATGTTTGTCTGAGAATTATCTTCCGTGGGGTTTCAATGGCGGATATTTTTTAAATAGGTCACCAGGCCTTTCTTCCAAGGTACCTCTGGGTGGACTCCAACTACTCAGCCTGCGAGTGCACTAGCTATTTGTACTGCCCAGGTTCTGCCTTACCCCTTTACCCAAAACCAAACCCACTGCCACTGAGGCAATTGCGATGCATAGCCACCCTGGCTAGCGTTCCCAAGACTGTCAATCTTTACAGAAACTTTGTCATCTTTCTCCCATGGAACAGCTGGTGAGTTTGAGCATTGACCACTTGGCTAGCAGTCCAATGCCTATCCTACGGAGCCACCAGGGCTCCTTAGGAAGGTATTTATAGCCCTTGCTTGCATAGTGGCTCTCTCCACTCCGAACTATATATAGGCTGCCCCACCCACCAAGGAATCAGCATTCCCCTTCTGGAGATTGGAGCATGGCTACAGACGTTACACCAATATGGCGCCTCAAGACCACAATTGGAATAATGATGGGCATATTAACAACTACCGTGCCAGCTGCTGTCTGCTAAGCACTTCACAAACGTCCACGTTCTTAGCCCTTAGAACAACTCCAGATGTAGGTACAGGCATTCTTTCTGCCGCACAGTGGCAATTCACTTGTCTCGGATCGAATTCTGGTGCCACCAATTCATAGCTGCTTGTCTTTGAGTGAACTACTGAACCTCTGCATGCTTCTCTATTATCACAGGGAAACAGGAATGATGGGTATACATATATATATACAAGCGATATCTATGATGTATACACATCACATATGTGATAGAAATATAAGATTAGATGTGTGTGTATCCTCCTTCCTAAAAAATCTTGTGAAAATCAAGTGAGTTAGTACACAAAAGGTGCCCACAATAGTGCCCAGTTCCCAGGTGTCTCCAACTCATTGCAGCCTCATTGCATAACAATAAAAAGCATTACCAGGCTCTGGGACAGAGTGGGCTGCTAACTGAAAGATCAGCTGTTCCAACCTGCCAGTGGCTCTGAAGGAGAAATAAGAGGCTTTCTATTGTCAAAGATTTATAGCCTTAGAAACCCAAATGGGTTGTTCTACTCAGTCCTATAGGAACTCCGTGAGGTGGAATTCATTCTATGGCAGTGGGCATTAGTCCTGTGTCCACTTCATGATCACTGGTGTGTTTGAGTCCCCGGTTGAAGCTGTTGTGAACACCCATCTCATTGCAGGCTTCCTTCGTTTTCATTTGCCCTCTGTATTATCAAACACGATGCCCTTTTTGGTGCTAATACGCTTTCTCAGATCATTGCCATTGGGTCCATTCTGACTCAGAGAGGCCCTATAGGACTGGGTAGAACTTCCCCTGTGGTTCTGGGAGATGATAACTCTTTAGGGGTGTACAAAGCCTCATTTTTCTCCTGTGGAGTGGCTGGTTGTTTCAAACTGGTGACCTTGTGATTATCAGCCCAATGCTTAACCACTCCACCACCAGGGCTCCTAGTATACTTTCACTGTTGTTATTACAGAGGAAACTGACTCTCAGAGAGTTTAGCACTGACTGTGGTCCATCCACATTCTCTTAACACTTAGTTATACAGAAGGATGTGGTTGAGTAGGATGCTTTTAGTTATATCCCTAATACCCATCTGTGAAAGCCCAGAGTGCCAGATCCCTAGCCTGCTGCTCAGAGGAGGGGGCTACAGCACTGCACCATGGGATTTGTGTTGTGCGTACCCATAGGTTCCCAACTTGCACTCTCACCCCAGCCAAGGGTTGCCCTGGAGGCAGGTTTTCAATGATTTGTTCCCTAGGTGAAAAGCATTCAGGATGCAATTCGAGATAAGAAGCAGCGTTTCAACTTCCTTGGGGAGGAGATTAGCCTGAATCCTTCGGTTGGCATCTTTATCACCATGAACCCTGGCTACGCAGGCCGCACAGAGCTGCCCGAAAACCTGAAGGCTCTCTTCAGGTGAGTTCTGCCCAACAGCTGTCTCAGAGGCGAGTTTGGACATCGTGGTAAATTAAAAACAAATACTCTCAATGCCATTACTACTAACATTGGATTTGTTTAATATGAGTATTATGAGCAACATAGAACATATAGAAAAATAAATTTGAAATAAACATTTTAATGCCATTACTACTAGTCTTATATTTGCTTAATATGTGTTTTATGGGTAATATGGAGCCATGGAAAAGTAAATAAAAATTTACACTTTTAATACCATTACTAATATTATATTTGTCTAATTTGGTTGTAGTCTTCTTCATATGCATGTTTTAAGTTCATACATGCAACTTTGTATTGTTTTGTTTTGCTATCTAGATATTTTCTTTTATCGTCTCCATAAATATCATTTTATGACTGCATATTATTCTGTCAAGGAAAGGTCCATGGTGTAATTAACTAGTCCCTTATAAATATGTATTAAGACTATTTATAACATTAAAAAATGTTTATACATAATGCTTCAATGTACATGTTTATATATAATTTTTTTCCTGTGTGCATGATTATTTCCTTTGGCTAAATTCCCAGAAGTGGAATTTCTGAGTTAAAGGGTGGGAACATTTTTAAGGCTCTTGATACACATTGCCAAATTGCTATCTAAACAGAGTGGTAGCGAATTACACTCTTACTATCAATGCACAAGAGTGCATCTTTATTTCACCCCTGCCACAAGTGGGTATTGCCATATTTTTAAATCTTTTTTATTTTCTTCATTAAACACAAATACATGTTCCAGCAGGAGCTGCAGTCGCTGTTCTGTTTTCAGAAAAGGAAAGCCAGCCCCACAAAGGGAAGAGGGTTCTGATTTGTCACCTCCAGGTTTCCTAAGAGCTGGTTACATATTGGGCTGCTAACTGCAAGGTCAGCAGTTCAAAACCCCCAGCTGCTCTGCAGGAGAAAGATGAGACTTTCTACTATTATGAAGAGTTACAGTCTCTGGAACTTACAGGTGCAGTGCTACCTTGCCCTGGAAGGTCTCTGTGAATCGGAATCAACTTGGGGGCAGTGAGTTGAGATGATCTCTTTCCTAAGAGAGAGAGAAAGAGAGAGAGAGAGAGCCGTCAAGGAGCTATGACAAAACTGTTTGCCTTGGTTTTGAACTGAGGGGCCCAGTATTCTCTCTCTGGGGATGCGAGTCATGCTTTCATGGACTCTCAGAGGATAAGGAAGCCACTGGATAGGGATTCTGAGTACCCCCACACCCTCTGCCATCGGGTTGATCAATTCAAAGGGACTCTCTTGGGGTCCTCCTCCTATAAAGCTTCACAGGAGCAAAGAGCCTGGGGAGCACTTTCAAACTGCCACCTCTGTGGTTAGCAGCAAAAGGCTTAGCCCGGAGCACCACGCCTGCGTGCTTCAGTCCCTCACTGTTAAGCTGCACCATGATGAGAAGTTTCTATGTGGCTGGGCATTTGATCATCCAAACAGTTCCCATTTTCACCTAGAGTTTGTTGGAATGGCAAATTTGCTGTCTAAACTAGGGGCCTAGAGTATTACATGCTATTTGCCTACACAACCTGTTTGTTGATTAAATAAGTCTTGTATCACAAGCCATAAAGGATGCGTGCTATCACCTTGATAAGAAGTATTCCGTACACTTTTCCTTGAATTTAAAAGAAACTTATTTTTTGAACAAAAAAAATGTTAAGAGACAATGTTTCCTCCAAAAGCAACATGTCCCTTTTTGCATTTTGTCTGCACAAAAGCACTATCAGGTGACCACCGGGATCTGAACTCACGCAAGCTAATTCCAGAGGCTGTCCTTTGACCCACTTCAGCTGTGGTATCCAAAGGTCACCAGTGTATCCACTTGACATTCTGCCTTCCCATAGTGTAGGCTACCTACTCTGCTTCCCAAATCTGTATCCAGTTTAGAATCTTGCTTTTATTAATTAATATTTTCCCATGTCTTATTCAGCATTATTATTCGTTTTTAATGTAATAATTATGTACAAACCATTTGCCATTTCAACATATTTCCATGGAGAGTGACTTTAATTATGTTTATCATGTTGTATAGCATTATTTGTATGTATATGTGTGTGTGCAGCCCTGGTGGTGTAGTGGTTATGCCTTACGCTGCTAACCACAAGGTCAGCAGTTCAAAATCACCAGCCTCTCCTTGGGAGAAAGACCAAGTTTTCTCCTCCAGTAAAGACTTACAATCTCGCACGCTCACAGGGCAGTTCTTGCTTTTCCTATAGGGTTGCTATAAGTCATCATCACCTTGTTGGCAGTGAGTATGTTTTTGCTGTTTTGGGGTGTGTGTATGTGAGAGAGAGAGAGCATTACATTCCTTTGTATGGATATACATTTAACCTCATTTTCAGATTTCAAGATCATTTTTAAAATGTAAGTATTTGGTTGAACCTTTGTGTCTCAAGGGAATGTAACATTTTAAAAAATAAAATTGCACTTAAAAGTTTGTCACATTTTTACATCAGTGTTGGTGAATGCAATTAAAGAGATGCAAATGTAACCACCTTAGCTTCAATTGCATACTTAATAGATAAATAAAAACAAGGAAGTTTGAAATCAAGTGTGTTTAGAATTCGGGAGAAATCACAGCTAAAATGTATATTTATAATATATAATATTTATTTTTTAAAAAGTAGCCTCGTGGCATAGTGGGTTAGCCACTGGGCTGCCAACCACAAGATCAGGAGTTCAGACCCACCAGCCACTGCGAGGACGATTAGCTTCTGGTCCCATAAGGATATATAGTCTTAGAAGCTCTCAGGGGCAGTTCTGCTCTGACCATTAGAGGAGCTATGGGCCAGAGTCAATTTCGTGGCAGTGGGTTTGCCCTTGGGGGTTTTATATAACATCCTGGTTTCTAATATATGCCATTTGGTTTAAGATGGTGTTAATAGACTTCTACTGTGAAATCTCAGCATTGAATATTTATGTTTGCGTACAAATAAAGGAAGAGAGACAACAAGAGTAACAACAACATCTAGGGTTGGAGGAGGCACACATCTTCAGGGAGTGTGTCTCAAAGTCACCCAGAGAGACTTGATTCCTCCACCTGAGCCCCCATCTGTTCTAGACAACTTTTTTTGCTAGTCATGGCCTTATGACTAAGGCACACTAGGCTCTCAGTTTTCAAGACATGGGCTGTAGTTCCAGTTCTGCCCCCATATTGTTCAGTTTTTATTCCCTTGAGCAAGCCAGTGAGCCTTCTTCAACCTTAATGAAATCACCTGCAAATTGAAGGTCTGGAACAAAATCACACCTTTTTGCACCCACTGACCCCTCCGCTGTGATGTAAGCCAGGTTTTCTTGTCTTAAAGTCTCTCCGTAAGCTCTGTGGTTGAAAAACTGTCTCCACCTTCTGCCTCCCCATACGCAGGCCTTGTGCAATGGTGGTTCCGGACTTTGAGCTGATCTGTGAGATCATGCTGGTGGCAGAAGGATTCATCGAAGCCCGTTTATTAGCCAGAAAATTCATTACCCTTTACCAGTTGTGCAAAGAGCTTCTTTCCAAACAGGTATGCTCCCTAAGAAAACTGGGTGATCAGCCCAGTGTGACAGCCTCGGCTCTCGAGATGGTCTGTGACCGTGTCTTGGAGCCTTCTTGTAGATCCGTGTGCTCACGTGTATTTTAAAAATTCAGTTTTCATTTGCCATACACTCTGCATGTGAGGTCTGGTTTTTATTAAGGCATGGCCACTGGTTGCTACTAGAACAGAAATACACTATCAAAATTGCTAGAATAGGACTACCCGGGGGCCTCTACTTTCTTCTGAAGCAGTGCTGGCTGGGCTTTATAGGCATTAATTCTCAAATGGTACCAGATGGCAGAACCTATACATTTTAGTGGCTGGAACTACATAGAGTGGATCTAGCACTTGCAGGTTGCAAAAAGGGAAATGAACGAAGCTATTAGCATTAAGGAGTGTTGAAAAATCTACTTGTAGGGAAGCCAAGCTAGCATTTTTCATGAAAACTCCCACGGTTATTGACTAGTTGTATAAGGATGCTGCTGGAAAGAAGGGACATTGGAAGTTAAGTCAGAGGACAGTCCCAGTGCCCTGCCTACAGCAGAATGCCAACCAGCCCTGAGGGCTGAATTAAAGTTTAATGTGTGTGTTTGTGTGTGGTATGCATTATAGACCTGTATATACTGCATTCCTCAGTGACGGTAAGACCTTTCACAGAATCCTATAATCATTAAGAGGTTGAGTTGTGGATCTCAGTGCATCAGGCAGGCAGAGCTGGATCGTAAGGGGAGTGGTGTGTACTGGGATTAGATTGGTCATATCCATACCACACAAGTCGAGAAGGATCTGCATTTTCATTGTTGATCCGAATTGTGTCTCATTTAGCTGTGCATTACTTTTCTTAGGATGTGTTATCTGTAAGCCCATGTGTAATGAAACTCTACTGTAACTTTGGATTAAAGGTATTTATGTTAAAAAAAAAAAAATCCAAAACTCAAAAGTTCTCCAATAAAGATGCATGTGGATTCCTTTAGCTCAGAATTTTTCCAGTTTCTTTTTGACAGGAGTCCTTTTTTTCTTTTCCATAATACTTAGCAACAACTCCCAGACCACCTTCACCCCAGGAGAAACATTTCAGGAGTCAATAAAATCCCTTACAGATAATGGCCTCTATCTGCAGGAAACTGAGATGGGAGGGGTTGGGCTTGAGAGAAAAGGGTTGGCATTAACCAGACTCGTTCTTACTGCTTTGACTGCTCCTGTTCGTTTCATTGCTGTACCTGCTGAGGGCAGGGTTCCCTTAGAGGTTGTTATAGTTAATTGTCGTGGAATGAGCTCCAACTCATGGTAAGCTTTTCTTAAAAACAACACAAGATTTCTGAGCTCTGCACCATCCTTGTGACTATTGCTTTGAACCCACGGACGTAGCTTTTGGGCAGTCCATCTCTTGGGATGGTTTCCCTCCATTTTTCTGATGCTCTACTTTACCAAGCATGAGTCCCTTTTCTAGTGACTGGTCTTTCCTGGTCACATAGCCTAAGTACTCAAGTGGAAGCCTCATGATCCTCGTCTCGAAGGAACCTTATATTTCTTCTGAGACTGATTGCTTTCGTTTAAAACGGCTTTGCTCGTTCTTTTGGTGGTCCGTAATATATTCAGCAGTCTTCACCAACACCCCATCTCCCGTTTCCACTGTCCACCTTCTGCATGCATGCGAAATCACCGTTTCCCCTTGACTCTTGCTCCTTGTGTGTTCTGTGTCTGCCTTTTGTCATCCCAGCTAGAGCCGGCAGCAGGTACCAACCCGGTCCTAGGCTCCCACAACCACACTCTTCTGAGTCATGGATCCTTCCCTATGCCTCCACCTGGAGTTCAGAAGAGCTGTGAGCTTCTTCGGGGCACTCAGGGTAACCGTTGTGCAAACACCAGCCTGAGCACGTGGTGTTCTGAAGACCGGCAACTTCGTTCTAACCTGCACCCTCTTTCCCACAGGACCACTATGACTGGGGGCTGCGAGCCATTAAGTCTGTGCTTGTGGTGGCAGGTTCCCTGAAGCGAGGGGACCCAGATCGACCGGAGGACCAAGTCCTGATGCGTTCCTTGAGAGACTTTAACATTCCCAAGATCGTGACCAATGACATGCCAGTGTTCATGGGTCTGATCGGGGACCTCTTCCCTGCCCTCGATGTGCCTCGGAGGAGAGACCCCAACTTCGAAGCTTTGGTTAGGAAGGCAATCGTGGACCTGAAGCTCCAAGCTGAGGACAACTTTGTGCTTAAGGTACGTGGGCTTTCCCTCCCAAGGTTGACTTGTCTCTTGATTCCTTTCTTGAACAGTAATTTAGCCTTAAACCTCAAAAGGCTTGCTTTAGGTGTGTAAATGTCTAGCTGTTGTTATTGGTTGCCATCGAGTCCCCTTAAGCTCAGGGGGATCCCAAGTACAACTGAACAAAATGCTGCCGGGACCCGTGTCGGCTTCCTGATCATTGCCAGGCACAAGTCCATAGCTGTGATGGCTGGGTGTCCTGAATGCCTTTCAACTTTCTAGCACTGCATCGGTCAATATACTGTTGTGTTCTATAACATTTCCATTGGCTAATTTTCAGAGTTAGATTGCCAGGACTTTCTTCCTCGTGTGTCTTAGTCTAGAAGCTTGTTATGAATTTAATTATGCCTCCCCTCCCACCCCACCCCCTCCAAAATGTGTTGTAAATCCTAACCTTTCTGCCTGTGGTTCTAATTCATTGGGGAATGGTTTGTTTATTCGATGTGAATGATGTAAGATAAGTGTAGAGTGTGCTTTGAGTCAATCTCATTTGGTATTATTAAAAATATGTATTTTAAAGAAGTTAACAGAGAATAGATGAGGTACTATAGATGTCAAGGGACATAGAGATCTCCCAGAAACCCCAAAACAGGCTGCAGAGACATGGACCTTCTCTAGAGCCAAGAGTGGGGAAATGTCCCCCTGCAGCCAGTGCCCCGAATTCAAACTTCTAACCTCCTAAGTGGTAAGAATATGAATTTCTGTTTGTTAATGCCATTTAGTCGTGGTATTTCTGCTATTTCAGCACTAGGTAACTAAGCCAGAATTTGTACTGAAAGATTGGGGTGCTGCTGTAACAAATAGCTAGCACCTGAAGGTGGGTTTGAAATGGTGTAATGGTAGAGGTTGGAAGAGTTATAACGTATGGGATCTTAAAGCCTAATTGACTTGAAGATACTGTTGGCAGAATGATGGCCGTCGGGGGCAATTCTGGTGAGGGAGCAGAAGGAAGCAAGGAGCGCTGAAGAGAAAGTCTCCATTGTCTTAGAGAATACGTATGGTGCCAGCACCAGGATGCTGCTAGAAATGTGGACATGTGGTGAGACAGAAACTGTGGGCACAGACAGAGAAGATAAACATGTTATTGGACAATGGAGGAAGAGTGGTGTTTTTATGAAGTGGCAAAGCACTTGTCTGAATTCTGTTAAAATGTTTGGAGGAAGGTAGAACTTGTAAGTGATGAACATGAATATTTGGCTAAAGAGATGTCTAAGCAAGATCTTAAAAACAAAACAAAAAAAGCAGGTGGTTTCTCCTTACCTGGCCTGTAACATGAAAGAGGAAAGAGATGGATTTGAAAATGAATGGTGCAAAATGTAAACAAAAATGAAAATTTGGAAAAGTCTGTGGTA